CAGGAGGAACTCGCGTCTGCGCAGTAAGAAGAGCGAAGAGCTAGGCATTGTGGGAACTCCTCGGGTCGACTTGGTTCTCACCACCACCCGGCATTATCCCCACTGCCTCCTGCAGCCCTGCGAGGTCCTTGCTAGAGCCTGGGAGCCCGTCCTGCCCACAGCTAGCCCAAGACCCGGGGGCCAAGAGTAAGTGCTAGAGCCTGAGTTCTCCTTGGAGTTCGCTCCACTCCGCTAGACACATTTGCCCTGCCTCGGCAACCCCACTCCTGCCGACCGCCCTGGAGCCGCTGAAGGACGTACACCTGGGCCTTGCTCCACCCAGCCGCGGCCCAGCTCGCCTGGCCATCCTCTCGGGCCACTATCTCTACTATCATTACGGTTGCGACGGCCTGGACGACCGGGGCTGGGGCTGTGGATACCGCACTCTGCAGACACTGTGCTCATGGCCACACGGACGGCCCGCGGGTGTGCCCGGGTTGATGGACATGCAGGCCGCGCTTGAGGACATGGGTGACAAACCCCCTGGGTTCCGGGGCTCCCGGAGCTGGATCGGCTGTGTAGAGGCCAGCTTCTGCCTCGACCACTTCGGCGGGCCCCAGGGGCGCCTATGCCACGTTCCCCGTGGAGCTGGGCTTCAGGGGGAACTAGAGAGGCTTTACTCCCACTTCGCAGGGGGTGGGGGGCCTGTAATGGTTGGGGGGGATGCAGATGCCCAGTCCAAGGCCTTGCTGGGAGTCTGCCTGGGGCCAGGCACAGAAGCCTATGTCCTGGTACTGGACCCTCATTGCTGGGGTACTCCAAAAAACCCCAGTGAACTACAGGTTGCTGGATGGGTGGGCTGGCGAGAGGTGAGCACCACCTTTGACCCCAACTCCTTCTACAACCTGTGTCTGACCACCTGTAACTCTGAAAAGCATCTGCGGGCCCAGGACTGAGATGAAGTTCCCAGAACTGAGGATTGTCTCTGGCCTGACTCACTCTCAAAGTCTGAGACTTAGAGCTGCCCAATGTCAGGCCCCCAGGAAGTCCCAGTACAGCCTGGGACCTTTGGCATCAATAAAGTGGCAAGGCCCAGCTTAACCACTGCCCCAGCCAATGTTTGGGAGGATTTGGGGAGGTATATAATATATACTCAGTCAGGAGTCACTGCGGAAGTGCTTTTATTGGCAGTAGGGCTGGACGTACAAAAAATTCTCAGAGCTGGATGGGACAAGGCAGTTGCAAGTATAGATGATAACGAGAGTGAGGAAAAGTAGATGGCTCAAAAGAAATCCACGTCATCTGGAGCATCCAGGTCACGGTATTCCACAATGGCCCGTGGGTCTCCACGGGCCATCCTGTGAGATAAGAAAGAGGTAAAATGGGATGAGAGTTGAGGGTCCCAGTTTGAAGAGGGCAAGAAAGCTTGGACATCTTAGCTCATTCTCACCTGTTGCGAGGTTTCCCAGGATAACCTCCCTGGCCTCGGAAGGCATCATAGTTCCCTCGGCCAGCACCATAAGGGGCATGGGGATATGGAGGCCCTCCTGTAGGGACTGCAGGACGGACAGCACCAGCTATGAAAAAGATTAGTGTTGAGTTGAAAACCAATGACCAACAACCCCTCACAACCACCAAGCCCTTTCAAGTCCCTCCTATACTTACCTCCATAGCCCAAAATGGGAGGCCGGGGCTGACCATAAGGCATTAGGCCCTGGGGAGTCTGGTGTGGGTAGGGGAGTCCTGGGGTCAGGCCTGGGGGGAGTACAACACAGACAGGGACATGAATTACTGGGGTGGGGGGTGGAGGGAACAACACAACTGGCTGTTAGGAATATGGCCTGAGGGTAAGGCAGAAACTTCAGGGGACAACAGGATAAAAAACCAGGAGTCCTTGAATAGTCAAGGGAAAGGGAATGTGGCAGACCCTCATGGATCGTATCTTACTCTGGGCAGGGCCAGGTGGCTGAGCTGGCTTGATCTCGGGTAGAGCTGGGCGCTTAGCATCAGTGAGAAAGTTGTTAAAAAATGCCACCTCCTTCTTCACTTCCTCAATTTTCTCTGCATGCTTGTTGAAGATATGTTTGCGTACAAACTCAGGTCCCTGGATGCAGAGAGGAGAGGGTCAGAAATGAGCAAACAGTTCCATAACTCCCCAGACCACAAGATAATCTCACACACACATACCACCCCCACCCGCCACCCCACTCCTGCTGCCCCCAGCCTCATTCCAAAGAGCAGTTTCCTCCCAGGCCTGGAGGCAGATTCCTGGTTCCACCCCCTCCTCCCACCTGCCCCATAACTCTAATATCCCAGACCTTGAATTTCTTGCCACTGAGAGGGCATAGCCACTTATCCTTGCCCAGTTCCTGGGTGTTGGAGGTGACAAATTTTTCCACTTCCTGCTCAGGATCTTTGCGACCCATCTTCTGGGCCTCTTCCTCTGAAAGAGATTCCCGCACACTCAGCAGTGGAGTCAGCTTCTCCTCAAACGTCTTCTGCCACTCTAGTACTGTGGTTTGGGAACAAGGACAGGAGGTTGGAAAAGGAAGCCAGAAGCAAGGAATAAGTGAGGGGGTTAAAGGAAAAGGTGACAGAGCTCTGCTCCAGAGCAGAACTAAAACAAGGGGCAGCTGGAGAGAAAGGGAACTAAAGGGGACACAGGTGGGGAGCTCACCTTCTCCATGACTAATGCGGTTGGGTGGCATGGGTCCCCGAACATGGATAATGCCACAACGGTTGGGCATTTCATCCTCATTGGGGTACTCGCATGTGTTATAATAATCCAGGGAATGTACAATGCGCAAATAGAGGAGAAGTTTGTCCAAAACCTAAGAGAAATGAGAAACCATGAATTCACCACACTTTTGCCCTTTACCACCCCAAGCCAGGCTCTCATCCCACACTCTGCTCTCCCTGGCACCTTGATCAGCTTCTCATCTCGTTCCACATTGATCTCTGCTGGATTTCCTTCCTTAGGAGGCTCCTCAGGGGGGGGACCCCCACTGCTCCCCAGCAGCTCCTCCTCCTCAGCACTCACTTCCTCAATCAGGTAGTCAGTGATATTCTTCAAAATTGGGTTCTGAGAGGGCAGACTCTAGTTGGGAGAACAAAGGCAAGTGAAGCAGAGAAAGCCCCTCAGAGTAGGTGGCCTAGGAGCCTAATTTGAAAGGCAAGGTGAGGCTGAAAGAATTCAAGGCTCACTTGGCCTGTTACTGCTGCCTCAGGATTTGTCTTCACGTTTGTATTCGTTCTACCTCAGCCCACAAATAATCACTAACACCAATCTGTTCTGCTAGAAGACCAGAGGTGCCAACAGCAAATGAGGGGGTATCGGCTGCTTTTGAAAAAGTTCTAAGAAGAGTCACTGACTGTTGGCAGAGGAGGTGTCCCAGGCTCAGAGGCCCAGAGCTGGGTCCTGTCATCCAGGGTATGGATCAGCTTGGCTGCCAGCTTGATGTCATTGCGCACTATCTGCTTGTGTTGGGTAATGCCATTGATGTTGCGGACGCGACGAGTCAGGTCTCTGTTCACACCAGGACTCAGCTCACACTCCCGGAGCTAGAAGGAACAGAAAGCTTACCAACACATGCCTGAGAAGTAGCAACTCAAAAGACTGGCCCTACTGAGAGCACCAGTGATTAGACTGAGTTCCCTGAGGACAGGGATCAGGTGTGTTCACCATAACAGTCCCAGGGCCTAGCCCAGAGGCATCAGTACACAATGTGAGCAGACTGAATAGGTGAAATAGAATGAAAGAAGCAATCAATGAACAAAGCCATCAGAAGTGTGCAGCATAGCCACACTTCTTCCTCAAACAGTCCTGCTCCTAGCACTCACTCGGATATTCTGCAGATTCCAACAGATCTCTTTGATGTTAACACTGCGGTCAAATGTCACCCAGCCACGACGGAAAAACCTAAACAAGAACAAAGATGTCAACTTCATCCTGTGGTGGTGACTGATGTTAGCCATTAACCTTCCCCTGCACGTTTTCTCCAAGGTATCCAGGGTCATACTTCTCTCCATTCCTCACCTCCTCTCAGGCTGGGGCTCCGATAGTGCCACACGCATAAAGCCTGGATATCTTTTACAAAGCTGGAAAAGCAGAGGAAATAGACACCCCATTTAGTCATTCCAGGATTCACATCTTTCTTCAATTCCCCATTCCCAGAACCCTAGGAAACTGCCTTTGAATCTTTACTTGGACGTGGAAAAACCAACAAAGAGCCCGGCCAGTATGGTTCAGTGGCTGAGTGTCAACCCATGAACCAAGAGGTCAATGGTTTTTAATAATTTTTTTTTAAATATATCTTTATTGATTTCAGAGAGAGGAAGGGAGAGGGAGAGAGAGAGAGATAGAAACATCAATAATGAGAGAGCCATTAATCGGCTGCCTCCTGCAAGCCC